ACAGCTTAAATGAAACCTGACGATTGTTTCACATCCTCAGATGGTTTAGAACCACTATCGTGATGAGGGAGACAACATTTTGTCATTCACACGCTCAACTTTTACATGAAAATAGTCACATAGCAAAGTAGGACTCTGAATTAACCTCAACCATTCATTCTAAGATCTCGTATGTATTCAAGAGCGCAGGATTTGCTCTTCTGTCAAAAACAAAGAAAAGCAAATGTGTATACTGATCAGGTATAATATTATGACCACTCTCAGGTGGAGTGAATAGCACTGATTATCTCTTCATCGTGGCACCTGTTAGCGGGTGTGATATATTAGGGAGCAAGTGAACATTTTGTCCTCAAAGTTGATGAGTTAGAAGCAGGAAAAATGACAAGTGTAAGGATTTGAACGAGTTTAACAGGGATCAAGCTGTGATCGCTAGATGACCCGGTCAGAGCATCCCCAAAACAAAAGCAGCTCTTGTGAGCTGTTCTGAGTCTGCAGCGGTCAGTATCTATCAAAAGTGGTTCAAGGGAGGAAACAATAGAGAACCAGGAATCATGGGCACAGATCCATGGCTGGTCTTTGTGGTCTGACCCAACAGATGAGCTACTGTAGCTTAAATTTCCCAAAAACAAACAAAAAAACAAACATAAGTTACTGTTTGTTCTGAAAGAAAAGTTGTGAAAATATAAGGTTCATCACAGTTTGTTGTGAATGAGGCTGAACAGCTGCAGAGCAGTCAGGTTGCCCATAACCACCAGCAAAAGCACAACAATGCACTGTGTTTAGCTGTCATCTGTGACGTTTGATGTTTTTTGTTACAGTTTTGGGTTTTTTGGGGAGGTTGTTTTTTTTTAATCTTGTTTGTGTGTCTATATTTACAAAAGATAAATGTCCAGATGTTTTTGGACACTTATTCAAGCTTTGCCTCTGTACAGCACCACAGTGAATCTGAAAGGCTCCAATCAACATGCAATCAAAGTACCAAGTGCTTGTTAGACAATTCCTCTATTTCCACAGACTCTAAAGCAACCAGGCAGGGTAACATAATACATTTCACCACTTCATTGTGTTTTGTTTGCTTTTTAAAAGAGCATCTGTCATCTTCCTGATACAGTCTGTTTTCTATCAGCATCATCATTTCCTGCCACACCTCCTTGGACTTCAGACTGCGAGATATCAGGCTCTGAACAGCAAACAAATGCTAATTCAACACTCGGATTCATCTCCTGACCACTGTTTACATTAACTTGTTGTGGAATAATAAGAAAGCAGGGCTCTTCTAGCCATGAAACTGCTCATCAGTCATTTGTCTGGTTAATGCTGAGGAAGTGAAAACAGACAAAAAATGACTCCTAAGGTGTTAATGTGATGTTTTAGTTGTAGCAGCTGAATTCAAGCCAAGACTCAACACTTGAATCACGCTATTAGCATTTCAAATTCACTGTGGTCGTTGTGTTGCTTAACTAGCTGTACTTTCCCAAAGTTGAACTGAAATAATGAAACTGTCTAAGTATTTACCCACTGACCACATGTGATAAAGAAGAGCGTTACTTTTGAATAAACAGAAGCTGAAGATTGTTGCTAGCTTGCAAACCCGTCCTTCCACTCATTAGTCACTTCAGACACATTTGTATGGAAACACATCGGTGCTGATCCCACAGAGGAGTTCTTAGTGAAGTGAGACCTGAGCCTGCAGAGGCTGAGAGTTATGCTTTGTCATGCTGTTTGTGTAGATCATTAGAAGCTGTGATATGAAACCTACCGTCATGTTCATCAGGACCTTTGTGTTGTTGCGGTCGAACGTCACCGTCACCGAGCGGATCCCTCCGTCCACCACAACCACTGGACGTGGGAAAAGGAAGAAGGCAACAAGCGAAGAGGCCAGCAGGCAGAGCACAACTGACAGGACCACGTAGAGCTTCCTACGACACAGAGAGGGAAGGTTCTCTCCAGACAATGCACTCACCTCCTACATCACCTCAGACAGAGTGAGAGACCCACACGTCCAGAGGGAACAGACACAGGAACACATCAGTGTGCTGCAGTTACTCACGTTCTTTGGGGTTGCAGTCTTTGGTCATTGTACGGGATCAGTGCAACCAGTTCATTCACTTGTTCTGCAGAGCAAGAAGAAAAATGATGTTTAGCATTTACCATTAAAACTGTTTTTTTGGAAACACGACAAAGACGGAGAAATTAAACACAGGACATCAGCTAAAAGTGCTACCCCTCCGCCTCCCAGGTAACACACCTGTGGTATCAAGTTCAAGATCCTGTGTCACCTTGTTTACATACAGAAAACTTACTCTGACCCTAATGTTGAGCTCACTGAGATTCAAACTCATCTGACATCTTAGTAGAAACACAAATGGTATTTGAATTTGAAGCTCCTACTTCCCCTCATTTGTGCGTTATTGCATTCACAAACTTGTCCATACAGCCTGCCTGCCCGCCCACTTGGCAGGGTGATGACAATACCCCGTCAGCCTTTTACAGCTAAGCAAACGAACCCCCAACTTAAAATAATAGCTTCTGTTTAACAGATTCACTGGTGCAGCTCTTCATGAATCTAATCATTACTCTAACACATTTTCTTAGGTGAGACACAAAATTGTATAAAACATACAGCATAGTACCAAGTTATTTTATGTTGAGCACAGGGAACCACGCATAGCTATATGTCATTACTTACATTAATCTGCTCTGGGAGTACTATGGACAAAAAAGTACCAGATGTATGAGGTACATCTCATAGACCATCATCCTCAGACATTAGCCAAGCAAACAATGGGACTCCTGCCTCTGTGATGGACAAGGTGATTATGCTTCTGAAGATATTCCAGATTTGGAATTTAGAAGTCAGGAATGTGTGATTACAACAACTCATGCGGTTGTTTCTGTACATGCAGCTCTTTCACTTTCACCTTCTAGAGCAGTTTTTCCATACGGGAGGATCAGGGATGGTGAGAGAAAACAAAAACTCAATAAATGGCACTTAAATGCCGACATCACCCCCTGGCCTCTCTGATGTCTGACAGGCTCATAATTGTACAGCTGTGCCCCTTCATATCTGTACGAATGTACATTTTCAGCATCTTCTAAACTAGTGTTTGCGCCCACGTTTCTTACTGCTGGTGTCACATGGCCTCCTGTGAGGTCAAAGTTCTGCGTTATGCACGGTGGGTCATAAACTCCATTAAAAACATTACTTTAAGTGTTTTCTTAGTGGATAAGTGCAGATCAGTTTTCTGGACAATCTAGTAATTTCTTGATTTTTCCATTTGTTCACAGAGCTTCAAAACCTTGTAAAACAAACTCAATGTGTCTCGTTCAGAATTACCAGCACAACTTTAGCTAAATGTCAGTATGAGCCAACACTGACCATGCTGGCTGATATCTGCGTCTTTTATGTCTAATACATTTTCTTATATTAGCAACTAGACTGTAGTCAACAGGATTTATGAAGGGGTTACAAGTAAAATAAAGAAATTATTTGTTTTATCTTTATGGCTCTGCTTTACTGTACCTACATTATAATCAATCCAGTCCTTCTTGGCCAAACTTTAGGACATTTAAACGTCACAGATTAGAGACCAACAAGCCTTTTACGACACTTAAAATGTTGACCGTGTTTTTTTCCGTGCCAAACACTTGAAAACACCTTTTAGGAATTCTGCGCCTCATCTCTGGCGTTAAATGAGCAGAAACTGTCCTCATATCAACACAGACTGACTGTCCGACACTAACGCTTACTGATTTATCAACTCTTTCTACTCACCTGAAGGTATGCGTCCAGTGCCTTGGCAGGTCGGACAAGTTACGCTGTCTCTGCCGGTGAACTCCACGTACGGGAACTGGGCTATGTCCTCCCGCCGGACTAGTCCATCCAAAGAGTCGTTATCGGAGTCTCTGCGTTCAGTGTACCGCGTTACCCTCTGCTCCTCCGGGAGGAGAGACTGGCTGCTGCCGCTACGAGACCACCGCGTCCCCATGGCGGGTGTTTGTGGGTGGTAAAGACAGCAGAGCCAGAGTCTCCCGTTCGGAGGTGGATAATAAGGAGCCCCCCCAGAAAAGTGAAGACTCGGTGATTTACAGATAATTGTGTTCGGTAAACGAAAACACACCAAATGTCGCTGAACGCACAAAGTTTACGCCGTGCCTCAGAGTGACGTCTCTCGGCTAGCTAATCTGCTAACGCACAATTTCTCGGTTAGCACCTGTGGTGAGTTATGGGAGACGTCCGTAAGCATGACTGAGTAAACTTTAAATACCCTTTAGACAAAACTAGCTGTCGTTAGCATAAAGTCACATCTTCCAACAAAACAGCCTCGGACTCCCGCCGCTCCCTCTTAACTTTCTCAATAAAGTTTACATATTGTTGCCTTCACGTAACCTAAGTGTCCGATCCAATACACAGCAAATGCATAACAAATGCTACTGCTACCAATGGTAACGAAACGAATTTTAAATTTTCAATTCAGTTATGTCGTGTTTTACAAGTCAAGCATTATGACATTTAGCCATAAATTATTTTGGAAAATTGAACTTAATCTATTATTGACACACAGCACAGTTTGAAACATCTACACTACAAATGGCCGTTTAAATGAAACACATTTTTATTTCTTACAAGACAGCTCTTTAAAATTACAGACTTCATCAAACATCTCAAAGTGTTCTGAGTGATGTTAAAGCATTTGTTTGTTTGTTTTTTATTTTTAACTGTAAGTGAAACAATTAAGTGCAATATTTATTATGTTTTTAAAACACTTGAACGCATCCAGAGACTTGCCAACATAGTGAGAATGACAACTCGCTGCTGCCATCTAGTAGAAAGGATTTGGGTAAAGCAGCTAAAATGGATTCTACGCTGAATAAGAAAAAAAAGAAAAGAAAATTACAGACATATTTATTTCAGCATCATGTAAAATTTAACAGGAAGCAGTCTCTCACGCTCGTTGTGTACTTATATGTACCCACAACAGCAACATTGTATGCAATCATCAGTCATCAGTTTCTCCTGCAAGCCTCCTCTTCAGCTTATCATTCTCTCTTTGCAGCATTTTATTCTGAAAAAGAAGCATTAAAAAGATTGAGATTTAGCATTTAAAGCTTTCGTGAACATTGGAAATATTTAATTTCATATGCTCTGTAAGTTCTTTAACAGAAATGGAAAAAAAAAACAGCCATGACAACTCAGGACTGACCTTATGTTGGAGTGCCTCCACTTTTATGTCTCGTCCTACTCTGTGCGTCTCCTCCTTCTTTGAAACCCGAAAGGCGTCCCCAATAACTGAGACCAGCACGTGAGACTAAAAAGTAATTCAGAAAAAAATCACATCTGGGACACTAGAAGCCAGAATATGTCATTCAGCTGTGGATTTGTAGTCTTCTGCTCTACCAACATCAGACTTCAAAGTTGGTCTTTAGTTTCAGCCTTGGGAATACTCACAAACTTTGCACTCTGAAACAGATAACAGTGGTACGTGTCCGCTGCAGGGTGCTTGGCCACAAACCCAAAAACTTTGGGTGAAGAAGGATGGACAGCACAGAAGGAAATAGTAGAGAGGTTGCACGAGTACAATAGGAACTGAGGGAAGGGAAGATGGTGAGAATTAACATTTTAAAACATCATGAAAGCTGAATACATCATGAGAATGAGCAGTTTTGTAATTAGGACACTTTTGTCACACACCTTGGTTTTGTTTTCCAAAATGTCTATCCCACTCAGAGACAGGAACAGATGGACTTTGCTCTTCTTTGCAGCTTTCTCAGAGGAGAATTCATCTGAAGTCTAGGAATGACAAAAACACACAAAATTGTTTCATTTAAACAGTATAAATAATCCTGCAGATGCACACAAAGTTGGCCTTTCCCTACTAGAACACAAGACTATTTTAAAAGGGGTACATTATAGACAATAATGAGAGTCTGCAGCCATGTTAGCAGCCCTGTAGGAGCTGAAGCGGTGGCTCTAATAGCTCAAGCATAATTAAACCAATATATGCATGTTTGCAAGCTAGCACTTACCAGCTGCCCAATTAGGTGGAGCAGAGGCTGGTGGTATTTACATATTTGGTCATGAGTCAATGCACTGGATACATTGACGCTGCTCTATTATTATGAGCAGTAAAAGGGTTTATGAGACTTGATATGAGTATAAAGAGACAGGACATAACAAAATAGGGATACAAAACAACCACAAACACAGAGAACAAATCACAAAAGTGAGCAAAACAAGTACAAAGAGGACCAAGACGACTATTCACACAAAATAATCACAGAGACGCAAAGCAACAAAGAGGCACGGGGCACTACAAATAAATACACAGCAACCATAAAAAGGCTAAAATGGGACATCAAAGGGGTACAAACCAACCACACACGGAAGAATAACCACAAAGAGACGCAAAATGACTACAGAGTGCCACAAAACAAATGCAAAGTGCTGAAAAACAACTACAAACAATGAAAACGTACAACAAAGCACTAAACAACTTAAAAGCGACAACAATAGCCACAAAGACACAAAACAACTACAAAGTTGTGAAAAATGATCTCAAAGTTGTGTAAAACATCCACAGAGCAGTGTAAATGATTTCAATAACAGTTTCTCATATGTGGCGTGGCAGAGGTGTTGGGCGCTCTTTTCAACACTTCATGTTGTCAGTGTGGACCGGATGGTCGCTGACTACATGAGTGCATGATCTATGACACCAGCACGACTAAAAATAACATTGTAAATGTATTAAATATGTCGGTGGCTCACCTTGAGGTTCTGAGCGGCTTCTTCCAGGATCTGTATTCCATCGGGGCGGACCACCTCTACTCGACCGAGAAACTACAGTTTACAGAAACAAGTGGAAAGTGTTGTTTTTGTTTTTAATAATAGTAATAATAAGAACTTTACTTAGCATTTTACTTTACACAGTATGTTTTTTTATATAAATATTTGGTTGCTACCTATCAAGTATACAAATAAAGTTGAATAAAAAATAAGTAATCTCAGAGCTGAGAATATTTTTCAACACTCTGCAACAAAACCGTGGCTGTTAAAGATCAGCATTTACCTTTACTGGAAAGGAGATCTCAACGTCGTCTTCCACGTCATTCATCTCAACACTCGTACCAAACTAAAGCCTGGATCTGTCAAAGACAGACATAAATTAGGTTTAAATAAATATATATTATACAAATGATCTAATCAACTATATAAAGAAAAGAAGTGCTGGAGATTTCTTCTTACCTTTTGTAAATATACCGCAAATGGAGTGAATTGGCTTCCAACTGCAGGGAGTGTAAAGTCTGTCAGAGTTAATGAATAACTGATTTGTCTTCCTTATTGCTTATTGCACATCTATCTGATAACCAGCCAGCCGGACATCTAAGCAAGATGTTTTATTGCGTTTAAAAGCTCTTTCGTGACACGAAGATCAGGACAAAAATAATTAAATATAAATATAAATACATACATATGTGTGGACTGTTCTAAAGTAGAGGTAGACTGACTCTTCTCTTTGCTTAGCTAAGCTTTTTCTTTAAGATATTTTATTTTTGGGATGTAATTGAATAGTTGCTGTAGAAACAGACAGTAAACGAGTAAACACAGGTAACAAAGGTGCCGCTGGCTGAGAGTGAAACTGGGGATGTGCCATGTGGTAGTACACACCCTAACACCTCTGCAGTATTAGAAAATCCAGACCGGTGACAAGTTAAAGGAAAACCCTGAACCTTTTGACACTGAGAGCATCTTTAACATATCTATTTACAGCCATAATATTATAGAATACTGAAGTTTGTGTTAGAAAAAGCTCAGAATTTGTTTTCATATGGTTACTGGTGATCTCATATTGACACCTTAACTAGAGATTTGATTTAGCCTTCTTTACTGCGGTCACGGCTCATTACACCACATTCAGATGCTTTGATAACTTTAATGCAGTCAGGCTTGAAGTCATTAGGGGCACGGCTGCTTGGACGCACATGTATACAGGCAAACAACTGCTACCATCTAATTTGCCTTCCTAAACCAGATCTCTCCACTTTGTGAACTGGGTGCCTATTAAAGCATTTTGAATGTAATTGGTTAATAAACAGCCTGGCTTGCTGTGTGGTTAGTCACATTACCATCACCACTGATCTAGTCTGCTTTGTGCATATACTTAAAAACAAACAAACAAACACAAGAACTTCCAGTTCAACTGTATTTATTGTTTACAGTGCGTGCCACTTCATCAATGCGCAATTATATATATATTTGTCTTAGCAAGTACATACAGGAAACATCAACGTCTCGAGGTGGAGAAGAGCATCGTGTTAAACAGTGGATGAAAATGATGATTGTGGTCAGACAACGCAAAGAGAAGCCTAAACCAGACAGTTAAAATACCCAACCATTTACTTCTCACAGTCAACAAACGGTGAGTTCAGACAGTTTTTGAACACATTATCAACAATGCCCAACATCCTGCAAACATACTTTTTATAACATATTCCCAAAAGACTGCTTGTATCAAATCAATGACAGAAATAGACAGAAAAGAATCCTGACTCTCAGCACAGCTGCCGACACGCTCCATGAGGTGTCGGCAGCTGTGCTTTAGGCTTCGTGTTGCTGATGATGTCATACAGTGATAGAGGGGTGAAGTGACCTGGGGATGGCTGACTAAAGGATCCCTTTTTTGTGGCAAGCTTTATGTGAATGATGAGATGACATAACACCACCCACTCAGACGGACACAGATGGAACAGAGCAGAGCGTTCACATTACCGTTAAGTGCCAATTTCAGGTTTAGTTTGTGAGACGTGACAAACTAATCCCTGATCATTACAATTCAAGCAACAGTCTGTTCTATTAGTGTGCATCTGTGAGGCTGGTGAGGCGACACTGCTGCTGTGTGCCGGGGTCTACGAATCGTTCACGGACATGTTCTCTATGGCATCGGGCAGGTTCTGGTCTCCGCCGCCTCCTCCCTGCTTCTTCTTCTTCCCTCCTTCCTGCTGTTTCTTTGATTTCTTGGACATTTCCTGATCAATGGGAGCTGGCTTGACAAACTTAATGATCTCTGTCAAACCTGAAGATGGGAAAAACAACAAAAACAAACATTTAATATATCCAATATTTTACATTTCTTGTCTTAAAAACATATCTTCCCTTGTTTTTCCAACCATCTGGTAGAATGCACCAGAGGGTGACAGCTACGCTCCTGCAAGCTGTTTGCTGACAGTCACTGAACAAGAATGTTAATGGCGCACAGACTACATATAAAGTAAATAATATAAATAATAATAATAATAAATAATAAATATATAAAGCATGGATGCAGCTTCTGGGTATGAGAAGTGAAGTCTGTGGTCACGTTTCTTAAACTTGCATTTTTTTTTACATGGCCAGCAGGGGGAAGCCTTGAGCCTTTAAACTAACCATCTCTAATATAAACAATCACTGTCATGACACTGTGTCAAATATGATATGTAGAGATGTTAGGAGTCAAGAAAGCTGCAAAGCATTTGAAATTTGTTCCAAATGCTAAGTATTATATGGAGACAAACGCAGTTGGGATGATAGTGTGCATTAACATCAAAAGTCTCTAGGTGCAGTAAACGGGTAAGAAAGCCAGCACAGCTTACCAGGAGGCATGAACTCCCTGAGCTTCTCTGGAACAATGATTCCTTCTTCAGTTTGGTAGTTCTCTAGGATGGCACACATTACACGTGTGGTGGCGCACATGGTTGCATTCAACATGTGCACAAACTCCGCCTACAAAACACAAAGACAACGAGAGATATGAATTTAGAGTGTGGCTGCAGAAAAGTGAAACGCATGTGCAGGGGGGAAGCAAGTTAAGATTTTTCTGCTTCCCAGTAATTCGCTTTATCTTTGATACCTTACGAAATAGCAGACAAGACACACAAACTGCATTAGTTCTTGTACGCTGTGTTGGAACTGAGCACTCACCTTGTCCATCATTTTTTTGGTCTGTCCGTAGCGGATGCGCAGCCGCCTGGCCTGGTAGTCTGTGCAGTTTGAGCAGGAGACCAGCTCTCTGAAGGCCCCTGAGCCAGGGAACCAGGCCTCCAGATCCAGCTTCTTACTGGCTGCATGGTTCAGGGCACCTACAGTACACATGAAGGAGAGAGCAGTTAGTTTATGTCATGGTTGAGTTATAAAGAAATCATCTAAAACTCTTTCTGCTTGTTTGAAGCACGGTTAGGTGAATACCTAGCAGGTTGTGCTGGATATTACGTTTATCTAATTTATCTACAGAAGGAATTCAGTTTGTAATGTTTCAGTTCCATCAGATAAACCACAAAGAAATTCATGAAGCATTTTCATACTGTCTTCATTTTTCCACATACAAGTGCAGGTGACCCAGACGCAGCCTGGTTGTGTCATCTTCAACTGTCTGCTGTGCATGTTTAACTCAACTCTGTTCATGCTGCTTCAAACAATTCACCCCTAGTGGATGTTATACAGAGTTATACTGGACTGATAGTTCAGATAGTGTAAAAATCTAAATATTGACTAAATGATGAACACATTTATCCTGTTTGTAATGCGTTCTAGATTTCGTAGGCCTACATGTGCAAAACAATCATTCATTTTTCAATGTCTGTCCACTGTGCTGAAAGTAATTACTGAAGTGGATAGTTCAAGTCATGAATGACTGTCCAACTGAGGGATGGTATTTATGTACAAACATGCATGATGATTGGTTTGGTGAAGGTCAGTCCATGTATCTCTCTTTTCTTCTTCATGCACAATTTAAAAAAAACAAAAAACTGTCTGTTTGTGTTGGATTTCTTTTAGTTTCCAACACAAACAGACTTGATGCTGTACCTTCAAGAATGGGCCACATTCACGTCTGATATTTATTCCGTCTCACTTTAGGGTGAGACTGAATGTGTATGTGTGGATATAAGAAATCGGTAATATGTAGTTGTTTCTTCCTTCCTACCAAAACACTTGGATATGTAATATTTATAATATATTTAAAGTTTTCACTTTCAATTGTGGTATGGTTAGCTGTAGTCTCATGGTATAATATTATTGTATTGCAATACAGTGATTCTGTGATAATCACAATGTGAGACCATCTACAAAATATAAGATCTGAGTAAATGATGGAGAAGGAAAAATATCCCTAAAAAATAAAAAGACCTGAATTAAATATTTATTCCTTGTATTGTGTTGTCTGTGTGTGTCCAGCAACTAAAAATGCTCAGTGTGGTATGAGGAGTGAGAGTGCGTGTATTTGACCTACCAGAGACAATGTTGACGATACGATAAGGAATTCCTAGTGACTGGTAGAACTCTTCTGCTGTTCCTATCATCTCATCGAACATCTCCCATGATTTGCCGTCATGCGGTGAGGCATAGACAAACTGCTCAATCTACAAGCAGACGTAGAAGAAACAATGTTTAAAATTAAAAGCAAAAAGTACTTTTGTTATTAATGTTTTTGAAACTATATTAGTGTTAATCTGACATATTGTTTTTGAATAAAAAAAAATTTAAAAATGTAATTATACAAAAAAATATCACAATTTCAACAAAACTGACCTTCTCAAACTGGTGCACTCTGAAGATCCCACGGGTGTCTCGGCCATGGGAACCCACTTCCTGTCTGAAGCAGGTGGAGAAGCCGGCGTAGCGGATGGGTAGGTCCTCTGGTTTGAGCCATTCTTCCCTCAAGAAGGCAGCGATGGGCTGCTCTGAGGTGGCGATGAGGTATTTCTCATCTATGGAACTGTCATCTGATTTCTCACTTCCCTTTCCGATGACCTGACAGAAACACGTAGAGAGGTTGAAGAGGGAACCCAAATCCATGTATAGACATATTTGTTGGTTGCCAATCTTCTTTTCTGCCACACTCCAATTATCCTCTACTGGATTCAGAGCAGGCAGGCTGCCCAAGTCCACTCAACTCACTGTCATCATCATCAGGATACCAGTTTGACACGGTTGGGACTGTAAATCTAATAACGAGAACTATTCACACAATATCTACAAAAATGCAACTGCTGCATCTCTAATGCATTATATTTTTACCACTTTGGAACAAGTATACTGCATGCTCCAATTCAGAGACAGTCTCCATACCTTGTAAAGCTC